CGAAAAACTGATTAAAGTAGTCTTCTGAAAATAAAAGCAAATGGAAACCGTACAGCCGTACACTGCTAATAACGTAAAGTCATATAAATTATATACTTAATGGAAATATGGAATATAAAAAATGTTTTTTTTTGTCAGTCATGGAATATAACAATGATAATAATGTTCAACAATGATTTTTACGTCTCGCTCCGCTGTACATCATTATTACGACTACTTGAGTAGAAAATGCATTTAAAAAAAATTTAGATGAATTTAAATCTAATATTGAACAAAAGGATTTCTAACTATGACCATTTAAAGTTTTAATGAGAAGGGTAAAATGGTTTTCGTTGTGTCTGCATAAATTGTGAGCCGCTTCGTTTCTCTTGTTTAAACTTTAAAATTTAAATATATAAGGATGGTCACATAAACCACATTTCTTATGTAGGTATAATTTACATTTCCGTATTTATATGCAGTCGCTCAATTTATAGTAATTTATTGAAACCACTCATTTACACGCAATTTACACACTAACATTATAATATTATGTTATATATTATTATATATAAATATATCAGTTAGCTGTGAAATACTCGAATACAGTTAAATTATTATATTTTTGTACAACATAATAATTATAAAATTGTAATTATTGCAAAACGGAATTTGATAGTATACTTTATTACCTAATAAGTGAATAGTTGTTTTTTTTTTCAAGTCTATTATAGCAATATTATTATTTTACCATTTTTTAAGTTCTTTTTTTTTATGACAGTGGCATTATCTAATTTGTATAATGTATATCTTAGGATGGTTATTATATTTTTAAGTCTATATGAATATTATACGAATTACAAGCACTGTCGTAAAAAACAGGTATGCATTGTACACACCACAGGTTTTTTGTACCATGTCTGATACTATATTATAGATCCTCAAAAGGTCTAATGACTCATATTCGAATTATTAAATTATTAAAATATAAAATATTTGTTATTGATTTGGAAATGAAACCAATTTTATAAAGTATCTGTTTACTGATTTACTATAACTGTTGCCCACGGTCCTATAAAAATTAAGAAGTATAAAATATATACATTTTCGTTCGCATTGTCCTGTAATTATTTGTTTTATGGTTAGGTTAGGTGTAGGTTATTTAGTATGATACTTACTAAAGTCTCGTCATGTTGGTATTTAAATTTTCACCGGTTGCTCTTAATGATTCTTTTGAAACTAGATTGTTGTAAAAATTTGATATTTTTTGTGAAGCACTTGCAGATTTTTCTATTTTTTTTTTAAACCTAATGAAAAAAAAAGGTGACTTTTCGTGTTTCTTACAAATGCCTATGTAAACAAAATGTTTTTACCTAATTTAATTAAACAAATTATACATTTCGTAGAATGCAAATAATTTTAAATGAACATTATAGGTTCAGTGACGAACTGTTAATTTTAGTTTGAGTACAAAAATGTGCATTTTTAACTATAATATAATGTAATAGAATCTCCACTGAGAATAATAAAAAACGAATTAACGTTACAAGTCTTACGACCAATCCAAAATCGACTAAAAATATTTTAATAAAATCCCTTTACCGTAGTAACGAATTTCTAAATATCGATTTTTAAATATTAATTTTTTCTACACCTCAAATTATCAGTGAACTCTAATTTCTAGTAAAATGTCTTGTCAACAAAAATAGTTCCTTCATACAATTAAATGATTATTACATTTTTAGTACAAAGATAATAAATAAACAATGTTTGTAATTGCCTTAAAATTGAATAAATCATCAAGATATTTTACTGTGTGTATTCTATCTTTAAATTGTTCATAATTAGGGATTGAATTCAAGATGTATAACAACAAGTGAAGTAATGAACTTGCATTTAATTGCATTAAACACGGAGTAAATAATTTTTTAATTTCCGTAGTATAGCGATGGAAGGTTACAAATATAGCACCAGATGAGAAATATAATATATCATAGAATCAAGGTTTGATCTACACCTTATAGGATGACTGCGAGGCTATATTATAATTCTAAATAAATTTATATTTTTAAAAAATGCTATTGAATTTAATAGATTGTAACTTATACATATTATTTAAACATAACTACATAAATCACTATAAAATGTAGAACAAATGAATTGTTTAAGTACATTATAAATTATACGATTATAATTTATACATTTAAAATATTATCCAATAGTAAAAACGCACACAATAAAAACCCATCAAATTTTTGAAAATAAAATCAATGCATGTACCATATTGTATTGAGGTTTTTATGAAATACACTGAATACAAATTATATTGTACTTTATTAAAATGTATTGTGTCATTGTTAAAACCGATATGACACGTGAGTGCTTATTTACACTCGTGTCGGTTCACTCACCTTGGTACAATGTTGTGTCGTGTTGCTATTTCAAATTTGATAGCAACCATAAATCATAGAGTTCGAAAAATGATTCTAAAAGCAAAACTCAGTTTTTGTCGTTTTTCAAATTGTTAGTACGAATAAAATATATTTATTAAGTATCAATTTTCGATATATTTTTGCTGTGATTAAGATATGTTTGTGAGGTAGGTACTTATTATAATTTAACATTTTGAATGTATCTAAAAGAAAAAGACAATTTGACAAAATTACATTAACAACTTGATTTACTCAATTATACTTATTTTATTATAATATATTTTATGAATTGATACCAAAACCACCCATAGCCATTTTCTTAATAAAATTACGTATTTTTTTCATCCACAATAATTATTAAAATAAAAATGCAATATGAAACTCGTCGAGTTTCTGAGCGGGATTCATTTCAATTGGCTTTACAATCTTATATTTTTAACATAGAAATGTTCTTGTACTGGTTATAACTTTATAACTTTTTGTTTCTAATCGCTGTTTTCGAGGCCGATTTTTGTGACGATTTCTTTAATGTCATTAAAACTTAAATCAACAATAAAAACAAATTAATTAAATTCCTAATAAAGTGTAAAATGCTTCTAAATATTTTTTCCACTGTATTATACCCAAAAATAAATCCATGATTCCTCAATTTTCCTTGCAGAGGAAAAATATCTAGTAGCATATGCTACTTATGTTCAATGATTTTTGTGTGATTGTCAACCTGTTTTATAGTAGAAAAAATATTCATCATTCAGCTTTGAAGTTAGATTTCTGAAACCAAATTGAATCTAGTTAGTGGGTTTATTCTATCATAAACGAGGCCAACTACCAAATAAGTATTAAACTTTCTTGAAAATTTAAATATTGGAAAAAATCACGTACAAACACAGATAACGTTCTTACTATTAAGTAATTTTATAAATGACTTGATATTGGCGTGTAAACACAAGCAACCAATTGATGATTTAATTCTTTATAACATAATCAATTATCATACCTTTAAACTTTCAAACATTTAAACATTTATGTCAGTGCCGTAGCTAAAGGGGATTTGGGGCTTAAGTTCCCCCACCAAAAAAAAATATCAGACTAACTATAACCGGTATACCCTGGCCCTAGCAATAAAGTATTGTAGTCCATCCCCTGAAAAAAATCCTGGCTACGGCACTGATTTATATTTAAATATTATCTTAACTATAATGATTCAAAAATGAAGTGTATTCTTAAAAGAAGCTTTATTTTTTTATAAAACATTTATCCACAAAAACAATAAAACTTTTATTTAACATGAGTCATTTAACACTCAATTACTAATAAGATGCAAATATGCAGTTAAACTTATAAAATAAATACAAACCCAGTCATTCAGGATAAACATTGATACCACGCTGACCAATATTCAAAAGAATGATTTAAAATGTGTATTCAATAATATGTGATATGTCAATGGTAGTCAATGATTATCAAAAGGTTTCCAAGGCCATATTTTCTTTACCTCGGGAACTTATTTTTCTTTGCCTTTCTATATTACCTATATTTTTTACAGTGACTGAACCGAACGTGATCGCATGGTACCTCCAAATAATCTTTTTAGTACCCAATAACTAATATTGTTTTTTTTTTATACCTGACCCGCAATGTAATGAAATCAATTCTGTACATGACTCAACGACTGATTTTTTTTACACTTTTGAGTACTTTGTAACTAAATATTATCGAACCATACATAACCGCTGCAGATCCTATCTAAGTATATTTATTTATATTTTATTGTAAGGCTATCATACGATATCAAGGACACAGTCTAATGAAATTAAATGTACACAGCACCTCACTGACCACAATCAATATCTAGCCAAAGTACAAAGAAATCGCATACCCAAATGCAAGGCCACTCAAGCTGCCCGGAACAGAAATAAATAATTTATTATATTAATATATGATTATAATAAAGTAATTTATAATATCTCGAGCTCAACTAAATCTTACATAAACTAATGTTTCGTAGAATTCAGATTTAAAAGCTTCGCAAAGCAGTAAACAATTTCCGTGTGACGACTCCTACAAAAATATCTCTGCATTATAAGAAAATTAAAATACAAAAATTCAATACAAAATATGAATATCATAAGGTGTACATATTTGGAACTATAAAACAAAAGGGGGAAACTATAATATATAAGGCGTGTAGCTCAACTAATTATTATTTAATATTATTATACCTTTCCCGTGATAGGACCGACTGATGGAGTACAAAATATAAATTTAAGATATTGAAAACTTTACTAACCTTACCTAGATGTTTAGCCCCGTGAAGCTGTTTTAAACATGACGTATTGGTCTCTTCATTATTAAATCGACTGATTTTGTGTCAAAGTAATCAAAACAATTTTTAAAATAATTCTCTACTAACTCGTCCAACTTTAAAGTAAGATATGATAATGCATAGTATCCCCAGGTAAATGCCCTAACAACATATACTAATGACCCTAGATGCCGAAGTATTGTTAAGAGTTAGTATAAAGGTAATTTAAAATATCATATTTTACTTCTTTGGGTGCCATAACGCACAAAATAAATACAACTCAGTTATTAGTTTAGATAACGATAAAATGTATTTAAAATTGTATTGACTCTTAAAAGATACTGAAAAACATAACATTCAATAGCAGCATAATATTATAATATTAGATACAACTGCACTTTACAGAATTCATTGACAGCCGCATTCGGAGTGGTTTTCCTCTTCTTCTTGATTATCATATTCGCTATAATTCTACAAGACATAAGACATCCTTTGTTAAATACATTTTAACTGATTTATAAATTATAATTTAACTGCATACCAAATTGCGCTCAAACTGACTCGATTCAGATTTTTGTGTCTTAAAAAAAAAAAATACGCGTTTGGTATTACGATGAGTACAATGTTACGAAATAGTCAAAATAATAATATTTACCGCTATATTCATTTCCTCTTTACCTTCTGAAATGAGAGTGGAAGAAGATTTCGATTGTCCCATTTTCTAAATAAAAGAATCAATTAAAAAATGAACTGATATATTAAATATATAAAAAAATGTATGCTAACGTATCAACTTAAATTGCATTATAACATTCTATATACGGTTCTAATCTATTTTCATATGCCTTATAAACATATAGTTTAATGTAAAGTTTCTCAACAAAATATATAATTATTAAATAAAGTTAAATTAAAAAAGTTTAAAAAAATTGAAATTCAATTTTTGAATAAGTATTTTAAATAGCTTATATTTAGTCAAGAACTGGTATTTAACTACTGAATTTTAATTTTTACTCTTTCAAAATGCCAACTAGATTTTCTACCAATAACCACTCTCAGATTTAAAGAATTAAGAATTTTTCTTCTACACGTCTTAATCACACACACACAAACATCACTGTAAAACGAATAAAGCATTAATCGCTTCCCTCATTCTAAAACTGGATAAAACGAAAATTTTAATTTTTTTTGGAATTTATGATGTCAAGTAGAATTTTTGGTTATAGGTCACTGTTGAAAAACCCACATTTAAATATTATATCATTGATTTTCCACACAGATACTTAGGGTGATAGAGGATACCTTTGAGACATACTGTGTGTGTATATTTATATATATATATTCACTTTGTGTGATTAATTTATTGTTTATTCATAAATATAGTGTAATAATTATTCTTACTACGATAAATATCTGAGTGTTAAACTCAAACAAAGTAAATGTATATATAATATGTTTTAGACATTGAATGATACAAAGGTAATTTATGAGCACGTACTATAAATTATAATGCACTTTATAGTGGCTCACTTTATCATGTATTTTTTAAATACATTTCTGTTTCTCTTTTAAACATTTTCACGAATAACTTATGAATTAAAATTTTGTTTCCACAAATCCTAATAAAAATGTTAATTAATTATCATTATTTTTTTACAGTGTTTAAGATAAATAAAAGTGGCTTTAGTTTTTATTTTTTATTCCAAAAAAATAAATAATGTATTCAAGCGATGTTAATAAATTATGGTCGAAAAATATTGTAAGTTACCGCTTTTCCCATTGCATTTTCACCTCCTTGGCTGTACGATAAAGACGATGTGGATTGTCCCTTACTCTAGAAAAATTGAAAATTATGATTTAAAACAAAAAGGGCATGAAATATCGATATTTCAGTAACATAATGCCCTTGTAAATGTTTTATTCTTCATGCAAATTTATTACAATTATAATTACCATAATTGTATTTGATTCTCCACGTTCAGATTTTGACTCTGCAATGCTACGTTGATAACCCTGCACAATACAAATCGATAAAATAAAATAAATCGAGAAACATTATACTATTTTATTTTAAAATGTACGTGTACTCTTAAGTAATAAACACTACTAACTGACTTGAATACAGTTATTTATTTTGTTGAGATTTAACATATATTATGTATAATAATATTTGAATTTGTTAGCAATATGCATTTTAAAAATGGTTATTAAGTAACTTTATTAAAATAAAGTGTACCCGCTATTCACATATTACAATTTTTTTAGTAAATAGTAACTAAGTTTAATATTACTTACTGACGATGAGATCAAAGATGATTCCCTTTGTTGTTTCTTCTAAAAACAATAAAATGAACAAATTTAAAATAATACAAATAATACTAATAAATATAAACAATTAGTATTTTTAGCAGTATTCACCATTGATTCAGTCATATTTTCTTCATCTACTTCTGATTCAGAACTACTATATTCTATCCCCTAAAAATAATAAAATATGAATTATAATATTAAATGTTAAACACAATAATATATTTAGTATATAAATAATATGTTTTGTTTAATTTAACCTTTAATTTTAAATGTTTTACAAAATCGTTATATTAAACATATTTTTAATGCTAAACATGATATAGTCATGTGGTGTGTTCATGTATGTATAGTACCTATATGTATTATACCATCGTACTAAAAAAACTAAAATTTTAATAAATATATTCAAATATATTCATGTTCATTTGTCTCGTAGTATTATTATTTAAAACGAAAACTTTAATCAAACAAACTATTATTTTAATTATTAATAAAAACTAAAAATAATACTTTGGTCATGCATTATTATTTACCGATTGGTTTACTACATTTTGTCCACATCCACAGCGTGACGATGAAGATGAAGTATCGCCTTTTCTACTTAACTGAATAAAGACAATTTTGTTACTTCAAAAGTTACAATATAATATTGGGCTTATTTAAAGTCCATTGTATTAGTATTTACCGAATTTCCTTTGTCTTGTTGCTCAGTGTCCAACTCGGGAGAATTATTTTCTTGATCGTACTATAAATATGGATAAGAAATATTATTTAACAATCATAAAATAAAAATTATAGCGATTTAGGTAAACGTTGAATGATACTTTATATGAAAAATTCAACAAATATTTTTTATACAATATTTATAACACATATTAAAGCAAACATCCACGTCAAATGGTGTGAGTAAAGTTTTTATAATTTTTTCAGAACGATATTTTAAAAATGTAAAGCAAATAACAAATTGTAATAGTAAACGTATTTACCGAATTTATTCCTCCCTTATTACCACTTCCATAACGTGTCACTGAAGATGATGACGATTTGTTATTTTCCTTATTCTGAAAAATTAATTTAAAAATATCGATTGTTAAAAAATTATTAAGTTTACTTATACTATTTACTTACATCATTTAAGAGGTAACGTAAAAAAAATATTATTTACCATCGTTTGCCTCATTTCAGCATTTGTTTCTGATTCAAAAGTACTGTATTGTTTACCCTAAAAAATAAAATGGGCCTCTCATTATATTCCATACCATGTATAGTTGAAGTATAGTTCAAACCCTATTAAAAATAACCAACCAATGACCTATGTTGACGAGGGTTGATTAATAAAAAAAAAAACAAAAATACTTTCTTGTTAAAATAAATTCCGATACAATATCTATGTTATCATTATTAACTAATGTGCGTTTTATATTTTAGTTGAAATAACTTCGAAAACATTAAAAAATATTAGAAGAAAACATATCATTCAACAAAGTTGTTTACCGATTTGTTTATTTCATTTTCACCACTTCCACCGGTTGATAATGAAGATGAAGATTGATTTTTTTCATTTAACTATATTAATAAAATATCGTTACTAAAAGCATTACAATAAAATATTAAATTTATTTAATGTGCATAGTGTTATTATTCACCGTCATTGCATTATCTTGTTCTTCAGTATCCATCTCAGAATAATTATTTTGTTGATTATTCTAAAAATATGTATGAGAAATATATTTAATAAGAATAGTTATAATTAAAACGATCTACCTATCTATAATTTGAATAATAATGTTTACACAAAGTTAAACTATTATTGAATAGTTGTAAAGCATAGGTATAGCAAAATAATATAACATAATATTACTGTCATAATATATTTGTGAAAATTGGTAATTTACAGATTTGCGTATTCCAGATACACCGCCACTTTCACTGCGTGTTGATGTAGATGAGGTTTTTTGGTTTTCTTTCTTCTAAACAAATAAAATATGTCTTATCAGTGTCAAAACAATTAAACTTCTATGTATGACATGTTTTTGTAGAAAATAATAATGATTACCATAATTTCACTGTTTTCTACATCAGATTTCGACTCGGAATAACTTCTGCCAACACTCTAACAAACAATTACGAAAGAAATAGGTAAGAACAGTTCGTCAGGTATCTATTTTTAATCTATTTCTAATAATTTAAAACTACTACGTTTTGAACATTATTTACAGTTCTCTTTATTAAAATAGAATTAGTGGTTATTAATGTGTATTTGTTCATTAAAACAACTATAGGCTATCATCAAAATAAAATGAAGGCAATATTATTTACCGATCCGGTTGTTCCACATTTACCATTCTCGTTGCGTGATGACGTAGTTGATGATTTTTTATTTTCATTTTTCTAAACAAATAAAATATATTTGTTTTATACAAATAGTTAAAAATTGTAATTTTTGCAAAATAGTGTATAAAATATTCACCATGATTGCTCGGTTCTCTTCTTCAGTATTTGACTCAGAATATTCACGTGTATTTCCCTAAAAATGTAATCCCAACAGTAATTACTCATAAATCTAATTATTCTTAAATAACAATACAATTATATTATTCAAAACAAAAACATTTTAACTGTTAGCACTTTGTCCTAGTCCACTTGTTTCTCGGATGGGTGACCATCTTTATTATTGTATTATTCTTAATTATAATTATTCTATAAGAAATTATAAAATTATAACTTATTTTAACTCATAGCCAATTCAAAAACAAAATGCTGTGAGCAAAAGTATGATAATAGTTTGTAATGTTACTCAAACTATTTTGAAAGTGTGAATAAAATGTATTACACTAATATAGCTGACCATTTTTAAGGCCAAAGAATTAACTTACCGAATTCTTATTTTCCTTTTTATCAGATCCGCATGAACAAGAAGAAGATTTCTTTTTTTCTGATTTCTGATAAAAAAAATTAATTTAAAAACTCGAATAGTATTTATATTTTTTTTTTAACTCAATTTTCCCAAAAACCAATGAAACATTATATTCTTTATAATTTTATTATTACACTATGAATATAATATTATATTATTTTAACTTGTAGGCAAGTTCAAAGTGACTCACTGCGTATAATAGTGTTAGAAGGTTTGTGTGATAAATATTTTGAAAAATGAAATGAAGATAATAGTATAATAATAATATAATGGTGGAAAACTTCAAATCTCAATAATTGTCTTACCGAATCATATGTTTCGTTTTCATCAGATTCACTGAGTGATGAGGAAGATGATGATTTATTTTTCTCTGATTTCTAAATAAATAAGAATTTAATAATAAAAATATAAATACTACTTATGTTTATATAACTTAATAGATTCTGAAAATATTTACCCCGACTTCACGATTTTCTACATTTATTTTTGAATCAGAGCACTTACAACTCTTACCACCCTAAACAAGTGGAATATATTAAAATATGTAATATATATATTTTACATGTTTAAAAACGGGGAAAATCTGTATATTGGGTTGATTTTTAGTGTTTTTTTTTTATCATTAAGCAGATCACTAATAAAATTAATGTGTAAAATATAAATACAATGACCAATAAAAAAATTAATTTTGAGTTCAAATGGTGTAACAGCTATGCTACTTTTTCAACAGCTATTTATTAATTGATCATTTTAATTATAGTGACTCTTTTTAATAATCAAACGGTGGATAGGTTAAACTAATTTTAACTCATAAGCAATTCAAAAACAATATGTTGCGAGCAAAAGTGTGATAATAGCTTGTAATATTAGTAAAACTATTTTTAAAGTGCGAAGAAAAATGTGTTATATTTATAATTCTGACCATTTTCAAGTTCAAAGAATTAGCTTACCGAAACTTTATTTTCCTTTTTATCAGATCCACATGAACAAGATGAAGATTTCTTATTTTCTGATTTCTAATAAAATATAAATTTAATATCAAAACTCGAATATTATTTTCATATTATTATATATAGGTATATTGAGTATAATAGAGTGAATTGTTTGCTATAAAAGCTTAAAATAAGTCAAATTATTTTGAGAGCGTAAAAAGAATATTTATATTCTATCAATAATGGTGAACATTTTAGTGTCCCTAAAATTATCTTACCGAATCCTTTTTATCCTTTTTGTCAGATCCGTTTTCTGATGAACAAGATGAAGATTTCTTTTTTTCTGATTTCTAAATAAATACAAAAGAAGTATTAAACTCAAATATTATGTACGATTATACAAAATTGCATTTTCACAAGAACCTCTAACTCAAATAATACTCTTAATAATTTTCTTATTATACTATATATATATAATAATATTATTTTAACTTATAGACTACCTAGTCAAAACCGACATACACGTACAATACTGTGAATAATTTCGTGTAATAAAATTCAAAAATAAGACTAAATATTTTGAAAGTCTAGCAGAATATTAATATTTTATTAATAATGGTGAACATTTAAGTGTCCCTGAAATGAACTTACCGAATCCTTTTTATCATTTTTATCAGATTCACTATTTGATGAACAAGATGAAGATTTCTTTTTTTCTGATTTCTAAAAGAATACAAGTTTGTTTTAAAACTCAAATATTATATTCTTAATAATTATTATTATAATACGACCAATATAATAATTTATGATTTTAATTGTTTTGAACTTATAGACAAGTCAAAAATGACACTCTGCGCGTACAAGTGTTAATATGTTCATTTATTAAATAGCAAGAAATTAGTCAAATATTTTGCCAAAAACAAAACATATTATAACTTTCATGATGTGAATTTTTAGAATACATATAACAATCTTACTGAATCCTTTTTTTCCTTTGTATCAGATCTACTCTCAGATGAACAAGATGAAGATTTCTTTTTTTCTGATTTCTAAAAAAATACAAATTTATTTTAAAATTAAAACTCGAATACACTGAATGTTTTTTTCTAATATTTCCCAAAAACATCTGAATTATTATACTCTTAATAACTCTTATTATATTACTGCCAATTTAATATTTTTGTATTTTAACTTATCAATTTATAGGCAAGTCAACAATTATTTTAAAATAAGTCAAAATATTTTGAAAGTGTAAGAAAATATTAATATTATACCTATAGTCTTAAACATTTTATAATCACTAAAATTATCTTACCGAATCTTTTTTATCCTTTTCATCTTTTTTATCTTTTTTATCCTTTTTATCAGATTCATTATCTGATGAACAGGATGAAGATTTCTTTTTTTCTGATTTCTAAAAGAATACAAATTTATTTTGAAACTCAAATATTATTATAATACTACTAATTTAGTATCATATTATTTTCACTCATAAGTGAAAATTGATATACTGGGTCCAATATTGCTAAAAGGTTTGTTTAATAAATAGCTAGAAACTATCCAAAATATTTTTAAAAACTTAAAAAATAATATTATAAGAATTATGGTGAACATTTTAGAGTCCCAATAATTATCTTACCGAATCTTTCTTTTCTTTTTTATCTGATTTATTCTCTGATGAACAAGATGAAGATTTCTTTTGTTCTGATTTCTAAATAAATATAACAGTAGTATTAGAACTCAAATATTATGTACGTTTTTTAAATACTTAATTTTCTTAAAAACAACTCGAGTATAATATTCTTACTAAATAATACTTTAACACTTCCAATATAATATTGTATTATTTTAACATATCCAATAAATAAATAAAACTAATAATAATGTACTAAAAATGGTGAAAAGTGTCAAGTCCTTAAAATTATCTTACCGAATCCTTTTTATCCTTTTTATCAGATTCACTATTTGAACAAGATGAAGATTTCTTTTTTTCTGATTTCTAAATAAATATAATTTTAAATAGTATTAAAACTGAAATATTATGTAAGTTTTTAAGAGCTACATTTTCACAAAAACCTCTCAGATAGTATATTTAAAATAATAATTATTTTACTATTTTAACTTATAAGCTAAAATCCGACGTACTATACGTATAATAGTATGAATAGTTTCGTGTAGTAAAATTCTAAAATAAGTCAAAATATCCTCAAAGTGTAAGAAAATTTTAATATTACATTTATAATAATAAACATTTTAGAATCAATAAAATTATCTTACCGAATCCTTTTTATCTTTTTTATCCTTTTTGTCCTTTTTATCAGATTCGTTATCTGACGAACAAGATGAAGATTTCTTTTTTTCTGATTTCTAAATAAATACAATAGTAAGTAGTATTAAAACACAAATATTGGGTTAGTTTTTTAGAAACTAAATTTTCACAAAAACTTCTCAAACAGTTAATTCTATATAATATTAGTTATTATAATACTAAAAAAAATAATGTTATTTTAACTTATGGACTAAACCTAACATACTGTGTGTAATTGTGTGAATAGTTTCGTGTTAAAACTCTAAAATAAGCCAAAATATTTTGAAAGTGCAAAAAGAATATTAATATTAAATTAATAATGGTGACAATTTTAGAGTCCCTAAAATTATTTTACCGAATCCTTCTTTTCCTTTTTATCAGATCCACTCTCTGATGAACAAGATGAAGATTTCTTTTTTTCCGATTTCTAAAAGAACACAGATTTAATATTTAAACATGAATACTATGAACATTTATAATATATAACTAAAAACCATGATATAATGGTTTTCTCCATTTGGCCATAAATCCAATGTTATTGAAATGTCTTGGGATGTTCACTTGAGGACATTTGTACCCTATTATTTTTCAGTATTTATTAATATAATTAAAAATCTTATTCTATCTTGTTTGTTCCTTGTTTGTTGATGAGCTCAAACTCTTTAGTTGAATTGATACATTAGCTGACAGTTGTTATTCATTACAAAAAAACTTAGTTCTGAGATTACTTGGTTTAATTCAATGCTGATAAATGCTACTCTTTGTCTTCCTCTAGGTTGGTCTACTACCAACTTTACCTATGTCATTAATAACTCCAATCTTGAGTCGAGTAGAACCTTGCATAAAAAATATAGGTGTTATATTTAGCCTCTATACTGAACTTAACCCCCCCCTCCCCACCCATGTTGAAGCAACGTGTTGGAAAGACAAAACGACGCTTGGTTTTGTGTTACGCTTATCTATAGAATTTAAGTTGTGGGCTTCACAGGAGGAAATTTACTGATTCATTCTAGACATATTCTTCAGTAGGTACTCTTTGACCCTTATACAGTTGTGGATTCTTTCCTCCGCTGAAAGTATCCAGAATTGTTGTTTAAACTCATCATCGATTATTCTGAATATTGATCAACCTCCTCACGACTACCGACTAGTTAAGCAAAAGCACAGTCAAGACTGATATCGACTCTAGAAAAGATAGTTGCGTTGAGGCTATCTTATTATTTATAGGCAATTTAATTGATTGCCGTATTGATGCTCCTTATCTAACTCCCGAAATAATTTTAAATTTCCTTGCCATACTATACTACATCGCGCGTCGTATGCTTCAATATTACCATTTAAAACTCACAATCGTAAAAAACAGATATTTCTTAGGTTAAGTGGCTTCGCAAATGAGCATAAGCTTTTATTTAGCACCTGAAATTGTTATTGTTATTCATAATTTTTGTAAATTTTATAAAATGTGTTATGTTTATTATTATTATCTATATTTTATTACTTATGTTATTTATTTATATATTAAATTTATTATCTTAAAACGAATGAATTAATTGGAAAGTTGGGTTTTGTGTAAAATCCACTTAGATATAATAAAATCTCTGTGGATAATATCGGGATTTCAGCTAATAAATATATGAGATATAATAATAATAATAATAATATACTAAAAATTGTGAAAAGTTTCAAATCTTACCGATTCCTTTTTTCCCTTTTCGTCAGATCCACAGTCTAATGAACGAGATGAAGATTTGTTTTTTTCTGATTTCTAATTAAATACAATAGTAAATAGGTAGTATTAAAACTCAAATATAATGTATGTTTTTTAAAAACTAAATTTTTACAAAAAAACTCTCAAATAGTATATCCTAAATAAAAATTATTTTAATGTATATACTAAAACCGACATACTGGAAGTATTATAATTGTATGAATAGTTTTTTGTAATACAATTTGAAAGTAAGTCAAAATATTTTAAAAGTGTAAAAATTATTAATATTATATAAATAATGGTGAATATTTAAAAAAAAAAATTATCTTACCGAATCCTTTTTATCCTTTTCACTCTTTTTATCCTTTTTATCCTTTTTATCAGTATCATTATCTGATGAACAAGATGAAGATTTCTTTTTTTCTGATTTCTAAAACAAAAGTAAGAAGAATTAAAACTTAAATATTAGGTAAGTTTTTGAAAAACTACATTTTCTTAAACACAACTCAAGTTTAATATTCATTATAAATATTATTATGATACAACTAATATAATATTTTATTATGTTAACGGTTTTAACTTTAGAGGTCAGTCAAAGTTGACATGCTGTATTCATTAAATAGCAAGAAATTAGTCTAACATTTTGAAAATAAATATATATAACCTTTATAGTGCAAATTTTAAAATCCATATGATTATCTTACCGAATCTTTTTTATCCTTTTCATCCGTTTTATCCTTTTTATCCTTTTTTTCTTTTTTCTCCTTTTTATCAGATTCATTATCTGATGAACAAGATGAAGATTTCTTTTTTTCTGATTTCTAAACAATTACAAAAGTAAGAAGAATTATGACTCAAATATTATGTAAGTTTTTAGAAACGAAATTTTCTTAGACACAACTCAAGTTTAATATTCTTAGTAAATATTATTATAATAGACGAATATAATATTTTATTATTTTAACGCTTTTTAACTTATAGGCCAGTCAAAAGTTACATGCTGTATTCAGCAAGGAATTGGTCAAACATTTTGACAAAAAAAATAATATAACCTTCATGATTCAAATTTTAAAATTCACATAATAATCTTACCGAATCCTTTTTATCCTTTTTATCCTTTTTATCCTTTTTATCCTTTTTATCCTTTTTATCCTTTTTATCCTTTTTTTCTTTTTTATCCTTTTTGTCAGATTCATTATCTGATGAACAAGATGAAGATTTCTTCTTTTCTGATTTCTAAAAGAATACAAATTTATCTTAAAACTTGAATATTAGGTTTGTTCTTTTTCTAATTTTTTCCACAAACATATAAAATATTATATTCTTTATACTTATTATTATATTACTGCCAATATAGTATTGTATTATTTTAATTTATCAATTCTTAAAGGCAAGTCAAAAATAATTTTAAAATAAGTCAAAATATTTTAAAAGTATAAAAGAAAATAATATTATATCAATCATGGTGAAAATTGCAGAGACCCTAAATATATCTTACCGAATCTTTTTTTTCCTTTTTATCAGATTCACTGTCCGATGAACAAGATGAAGATTTCTTTTTTTCTGATTTCTAAATTAATTCAAATTTAATATTAAAATATGAATACTAAGTAGGTGTACACCATATTATAATAGTTTCTGAAAATATTCAACCAAAACTTCATGGTTTCCTACATTTGTTTTTGAATCAGAGCACTTACATTTCTTATCCTAAATATGTGTTTCATAATAAAATAAAATAAACATGTATTTCACGATTTAAAAATTGAAGGGATCTGTATTGTAGGTTGATTTTAAATGTAATTCACCAAATAACAAATTTAAAAAAAACACTATCATCATACATGTGTTAATTATTAACTCAATGATAAAAATAGTAAATTATTGTATTGGTAAGAAAAATTATTCTGTGTGGAGATGGTGTGTCAACTATTTCAAAAAATATTTTATAATAAATTTTTATTATGGTAGTAACTCTTTGTAATAGTAAAATACGTAGGTTGAATTATTTTTTCCAAAAACATATTTAATATCATATCCTAAATGAGAATAATAGTATCTAAAACTTTATTATTTTAACTTATTTTAACTTATATTCAACAACATAATGCTGCGTGTAAAAGTGTGAATATATTTGGGTGAAAAAGTGAAAAATTGCTTGTAATAGTAGTCAAACTATTTTGAAAGTGTAGAAAAAATACAAAATTATATAATAATGCTAACCATTATGAGGTCCTAAAAATTATCTTACCGAATCCTTTTTTTCCTTTTTATCAGATCCACATGAACAAGATGAAGATTTCTTTTTTTCTGATTTCTATAAAATTAATATAAAAACTCGAATATTACATATGTTTTTTTTAAATACTTTTTTCTCCCCAAAAACATGTCATATATTATATTCTCATTAATTATTATTATAATACCAATATAATACTCTAAGTAAAATGATAAGTATGTTGAACTCGTTTTTCTAAAAACATCTCTATATTATAATATTCGTAAGTGTTATAATACTATAGAAAAATAGAATATTCTATTATTTTAACTTATAGGCTAGTTAACACCGACACACTGAGTGTAAAGTGTAATTCGTGCAATGAATAGCTTGTAATGTTAGACAAAATATTTTGAAAATTTATGTAAAATAAAAGTACCTATAATATTAATGGTGGACAAATTCAAGTCCTAATAATTATCTTACCGAATCCTTTTTCTCGTTTTCATCAGATTCGCTTTGTGATGAGCAAGATGAAGATTTATTTTTTTCTGATTTCTAAATAAATACAAATTCAATATTAAGACATGAATAGGTACTATGTACGTTTATATAACATAATAGATTCTGAAAATATTTACCGCAACTTCACGATTTTCTACATTTGTTTTTGAACCGGAGCAAATACAACTCTTACCCTAAATAAGTATTACATAAATAATTTAGTTAAATATAATTAAGTAGTAATAAATGTAAGCAAGTGAGTAAGTTGTTTATTGTTTTTGAGTGTTTTTCATCAATGAATATTTCATAATATATTTTATGACTATAGTCATTATTTCAACTTGTTATGAACTGATTAAAATGTGTCAATAACTATCTCAAATATCTTATTTTTAGATATTTTTATGTTCTATAATATTAATGTATTTTAACTCAAAATTAACATACTGCAAGTAGTAGTGTGTGTGTGTACTGTGTAGATTCAAGTCTAAAATATGTTGCAATTAGACACATTTTTTGAAAGTGTAAAGAAAACAATAATATGGTTTAATATTTCGATAATTGTCTTACCGATTCCTCTTTTTCCATTAATTCATTTTCGCTTTGTGATGAGCAAGATAAAGATCTATTTTCTTCTGTTTTCTATATAAATACAAAATTAATATGATTAATATTATAACATAAATATTATGTATCTTTATATTTCATTATATTTTATGAGAATATTTACCCCAACTTCGCGGTTTTCTACTTCTGTTTTTGAACCAGAACACATACATTGATTACCCTAAATATGTATTATAGAATATAATAAGTTTAACATTTTTTATATGCTAAAAAATGAATGAACTGTATATCAGGTTGATGTTGAATGTATTTCACCATTAGTAGATCACTATTACTATGGAAGTGTTCCAAACAAATTTCATGATAAATAGTAAAATATTGTATAAGTACATGAAACAAGTCTGAGTGGTGACTGCAGTGGGACAACCTCCTTTTCAAAAAATATTGTATCATATATTATCATGATATTTTTTTAAACTATTAATATGGCACCAAGGTTGAACTAATTATTATTATAATATTAATATATCATTTATAGTTTTCATATTATTACAACTTATAGTACAACTAATTGCCAATACCTATCTACAGCAAATAATATGTAAAACATAGCTTAATTGTAGTCAAAATATTTTTAAAGTATACAAAATGTAATAATATTCTAATAATAATGGTGAAAATGTTCAAGATCCAATATTTATCTTACCGAATCCATATTTTCTACTTCTTCAGTATCGCTTTGTGATGAGTAATATGAAGATTCCCTTTTTTCTGATTTCTAAATGAATACATAATTAATATTAAAACATAAATATTAACTGTATTTTTTTTTTAAACTAGTTTTTCCCAAAAAAATTATCCCAAAAAATATGTTCTTAAATAAATATTAATATGATACTACTCATTATATAATATAATGTTATTTCATCTTATTTTAACACATAAACTAAACAATATTCTAATAAATGTTGAAACATGAACATTTTGTATATTTTTAGTATGCTAATTTGTTCCAAAAACTTCTCAAATAGTATATTCCTTATAATCTGTATTATAATACTGTATAATATCATATTATTTTAAATTTATAAGTCAAAATCGTATAATATGTCAGGTTTAAAAATAACTTGAAATTAGTCAAAATTTTTCAAGAAAAAATATTCTTAAAATAATTGTTAAAGTTTTCAAGTCCCTATGATTATTTTATAGAATTATTTTTTACCCTTTCATTTATTTCACTTTGTGATGAGCTAGATGAAGATTCCATTATTTCTGTTTCCTAAATAAATACAAAATGAATTAATATACAAATTGAATACCTTGTATGTTTATACTACATAATATATTGTGAAAATATTTACCCCAACTTCACTATTTTCTACATTTCTTTGTGAATCAGAGCACATACATTGCTTATCCTAAATTCGCATCAAATAGTAAAAAAAGATTAGTATATAATATTTACATCACAAAAAAAAAAACACAAAATAAAGTTCTAAAAAAAAATTAGAAAAGGAGTAGGAAAATATTATGTTTATATAACATTTTTTATAATAAAATAAAAACATTTAATTTTTCGAATAAATAACTCTTACGAGTTACATCAAAAACTAACATACTAATAACTGCTAATAATACTTTTAGCATTTACTAAAAAAAAAAAATCTGACATATGCATTAACAAATATGATAATATGATTAATATTATGTACTTACACTAACACATCGTTTAACTAATGATGGTACGGAAGGCGAATCAACGGCTTTATTCTTAGGATTTACATCAGTCATTTGTGTTTTCGTCATATCTTCGACAATATTATCTCGTTTCATTAAATTCCCACGATTCGTAGAACTGACATCAGGCATTCCCGCTTTCGTCATATCTTCTACGATATTATCTCGTTTTACTAAATTCCCACTATCCATGGGATTCACACCAGACATTTGTGTTTTCGTCATAGCTTCGACAATATTATCTCGTTTCATTAAATTCCCACGATTCGTAGAACTGACATCAGGCATTCCCGCTTTCGTCATATCTTCTACGATATTATCTCGTTTTACTAAATTCCCACTATCCATAGGATTCACACCAGACATTTGTGTTTTCGTCATAGCTTCGACAATATTATCTCGTTTCATTAAATTCCCACGATTCGTAGAACTTACATCAGGCATTCCTGTTTTCGTCATATCTTCTACAATATTATCTCGTTTCTTTAAATGATCACGATTTATTAGCATTATAGCCAAACGATCTGGTGACATTATTATTCCATCTCTTTTCGCTAAATTTGGATAGATACCATCACGTCTAGACAAGTCCAAGCCACAAGCAATCTACACAAAATTACAATTTAAGTATTAAAAAGTCGTCTAATACAAATTATCACAGTTGTATTATTATTTATAACTATTGTAGTGCATGGTGAATACATTTTTTAGGATAATTAAAAAATGCTGCTATAAATTAATTTAAAACTTTTCAATGAAAAATAAGAATTGTGAAAACATTCACGAAGTCGGTCTGCTGATATCCAACTAAAAATTAATATAATGTTATGTGGTACTAAATAATTGTGTTAAATAATTGAGATATAATAATTTATCTAAGACAACAGTACAATAGTCCAACATTGAAATAAATTGTTTTATAAATATTAAATACCATTAGCTAATGTATAAAAAAATGAATACATAATAAATGTAAACACATTCAATAGTATAATTTATATTAATATAAAACAAATAACGACTCTGATAGTTGATAATAGATAAAAATATATTATTATAGTGTACAATATAAATATATTAATCATAAAGATATTTAGTTTCAACTCAAATAGTAATTTTATGAATACTATTTTTTTTAAATTTTTTCCCTTTTTAAAGATTGAAAATGAAACTGTTTTCCAACTCAGCATAACAAAGTAAATCTACAGTCCGCTGCTACTACAGCTACTATTTTATTCTAATATAAAACCAATATGACATAATTTATTAAATTAATATAATTTCCTTAATAAAAAGAAACCAATTAAAACATATTTTTTTTAGTAATGATTAAGTTTACAATATTACTTTAATTAATTCAATTCGATTTTTATGTGGACTTTTATTACATTGTATTAATTTTACATTTATCATGATGATAAGAATCTCCGTTATAGTGTCATAGATCAGTGGTCGTAGGCATTTCTTATCAACATTTTTGCAAGAGCTTTTGAATTTAGCCGTTTGGTGAATGAACATAATTTGGTTGACAGATATGGTAACTCTGCAAGTTTCAAACAATGAAAGCTAAAGTTCTTGGATTCACATAAGAAACTTGTGCTGAGACGCACAGGATGTTTATTAAACCTTAAAGGATACAGTACAACACTGTATTCCTTTTTCTCTATTTTGTCTGTCAGGGATATGTGGTAGATTAGAGTGATACATTTTTTATTTTATTTCAGTTGGATATTTTATTTTACTTTTCATTTTTCTACCAGTCATTTGCTATAAACGACTTTTTGGAATGTTCCAAAAATATTAGCTCTCATACTATAAATTACAACCAGATAGGTATCGACCGCAAACTAATGAGTATTTGTTTCCACGTGATAATTTACGCTAATTACTCGTCTGTGTTATAGCCTGTGGAACAGAACTAACTAGTTAAAAAATATCATAATTTAACTATTTTAACTTACTATAATAATGAACCAAGTCTTCCGACTCTGATATGGATTTCAGTTTGGTAAGATTGAATTTAGAGTATAACTGTTAGAATGTCGATTCGCTCAATTAATCAGCAGATAAGTATGTAGATATTGATTCAACTTTAAATTTGTTTTAATAATGATTGAGCAATTACTCAATGAGATAACGAATAATATATAGGTAGGTATTTAACAAAAACAATGTTTAATTAATATAGCATCACACAATACCCCACAACTATTTTCAATTTCTTTTCATTTTTGTAAAATTAGTTTGTATGAAAATAATTATAACACACAATTTTTTTACTCTGCATGACACCGCGTCATGCGTAACATGACGAATTACAGTTTACAATACTAACCCTTTTCACCAAACATAAAACCACAACGGTCATCGCTAAATATGCCACTATTCAACTTGCAAAAACTTTGGAAATGATAATATTATTTTCATTGAAATTGTATTACTTCGTAATGTAATAGTTTTATATACAATATTTAATGCAAAATTATTTTCTATTGTGAAAACTCTAAATTTCACCGAATGGATCTAATGCTTACTTACAATTTATTTACTTCTTGAATACATATCAATAATAAATTACAAATAAAAGATTAATAAATTCGCCTAACAATCTGAATTTTATTTGTTGGAAGTTTAAGTATAACGAAAAAAATGTATTCCTGGTAATGTTGATATTATTCGAAAATTATTTATTATTTAAATTTATAATTCATTACTCAATTTTATACAATATACTGTGAAATACATTGTATTAATGTATTCTATCAACTAATTATATTGTCTCGTTATAATTAAATTTGACGGAGTCATATTTCATTAAAAACAAATAACTATATAAGTAAACGTTAATTTAATACTAGTTGTTAATTTTATGATTAAAATGCAGCACGATGTCATTATGCAATGAACTTTCTAGTATACAACAAACACTATAGCTTTACTATACTCGAAATAAAATAATGAATTAAAAATATAATTTTTAATGTTTATTTCTTATTTTTTATTTTTTTTTTGTCTGATGCATTATACAATATAGAAGTTTTATTATTAATGAATTATAATTTAAATATTTTACAATATTTTACTATACTTAAAATACTTCTTTAATCTTTATAAAAAAAACATTTTTGTACGAAAATGAATGAAATATACAATAGGTAGGTACCTACATTTGAAAACACTTATTAAATTATTTTTTGCGAGTTATCTGAATTCTCGAAAATAACAAGTTTCAAAATAAATAAAGCATTTTAAATTTATGTACAATGTTTTGAATTTTAAATAAGGCTTCATTGTTGTAAATTTTAAATTTAATGTAAGTATGTCATTTTACTTAATTTATTTTGCATAACTTAAATAAAAAATGTAATTCTTATTTATATTATTTAATTGCATTTAAGATTACAATATTAACTATGCATAAATTATACAATATGTAATTGTGTGCATATATTTTATATATAAGTAAGTATAGGTACATTTATTATTTGTAAGAAATAATAATGTGTCTAAAAGTTTATAGAATGTATTTAAAAGTAAAATACAAATTCCAAAAATCGTTTTAAATTACGGAGCTTAGGTAAGTTCAATATTTATTATAAAAATACAATATTATAGATTAAAAGTTTTTAAACTTCATACATCATACCTATTCAGATCATATTTATTTTTAACATTAAATATATAATATACCTAAGTAATAACGATTTATTTTTTTGTTTTATGTAAACTGCAGTTATTTTATTATAACTGTTACCAACAGTAAAAAGTTCAATATAAAAAATAATTCAAATTATAATATTGTTTATATATATTAGGAATACTTACACTAAGGCCGATTGCCAAAACCAAAAAAACTGCACTTGCACTCATTTTTGTGTTATGGTCGGATTGAAATTTAATAGAATTTATCAACATATGATATAATACCACTGTGGCTTGACCACCAGGTAAGTGTCGAAGCTTGTGATGTCCGTGGTCTTATATACACCAAAACAATTAGGTGCTGCAGGTGATATTAAACAAATTGTTTTGTTTAATTAAGCAGTTTTTTTTCGTTAATTTACATCACACTTGACTAATATTTTTTCTGTGTAAACATAACTAAAACCTGAGTACACGTCAAATTTGTAATTATTATTTTTTTACACTTATGTAGTTCCTATTATCTACCATCTATGGCATTTTGTATAAACGAGTAGATAAAAATCTATTCAATTCATAAGATTAAAATAATATTAAAATAAAAAATAATAATAAAATAAGTATATCTTTGAAATTGTAATTCATTCTAGTTAAAAACAATAAGTATATAAAAGTAGATAATATTATAATTTTGTGGTACCCATGATGTGTAAATGGTTTTAAAACTGCATTTGAGCAATACAATTAATTTACTTACTTATATTTTGTTTAATAATGAAGGCTGTTATTATTCATATTATAAAGTCAAAAATATATGGAATTGCTCTTTTGGTCTGCGGAAGGTAGAACGAAATATTTAAACTTCACCTAAAGGCTAAAATATGTATGTAGGTTATAACTACTACAGTGTACCTACAGTTTAATAACAGTAATAACTATCCGTCCAACAACTATATTATAATATTATTATTTATTCATCCTTCAATATTCAATGAATATTTACTTTTATAACATGTTTACTTTCATCAGTTAACACGTCCGATTCTAGCAAAATTATCATGTAAAGATAAAGGCGAGATGGTACAGAGCAAAATAATTCGAAGAAAAACATTAATTACAAGCTAAATTAATTAGAATTTTCAGGCCGTGGCCAAAAAGGTTCGGTCACCCATTGAATATTCAATTAAACTCCACACGCGTGACACCTTTTGCATTTAGTAGTCTCGTCCAGCTTATAAATAAAAATATATATGGAAATTAACTACAGACTCCGCTAATAGTATGATTTTCGGTTAATAATCCAAATACAAACAGCAGCAAGTTATTTAATTAATGTATTTATTAAATACAGAATATACATACATTATGCACATTAAACAGCTAATGAACAAAGTATATTTATATTATTCTTATTATTAATGATTGACGTATCGAGAACAGTGAAGCGTCAACGTTAGATATTATTGTAATAATTATAGTACATCAAAATTATTTTTTATTCACTATTCGTTTATCGGTATAAAATATTCAAATAAATACAACAGCTGATGTAATTTGGCTATATTGAAACTAGTGCGGGGAACCGGGATACGAATATAATATCACAAAACATAAAGTTTTAAAGGTTATTATTTGGATCAAAAGGGTTTAGACTGTAGAGCTCAACCGAGGGGGCTGTACAAAACGCGCCGGACGGGTAATAACAAAAAGTAAAACTCGCGTAGAGAAAGGATTTTATCGATCCGAGCGAGAGACATGAGGGTTTTCCTCTGACCCAGTAAATTCAGAGGAATTTGAATGTACCAACGATACGTGTGCAAACCAAGCGTATTATGTGTGTTTATACGTGTGTGTAGGTGCCCACTACAGTCACACACATCCTCCTTATCCATTGTTGAGCGATCGGAGGCGACGAGCCCCACGAATCGTGTATACGTTCAAATAATAAACGGGAAAAGAAATAATACGGTGTATTATACATACAGACGCGTTAAACACACGCCAATCCCCGTACACCGATGGATTTTCCCATTGCCGTGCACAATATTCTCGACTATATTATTATTATTATTATTATTATTATTATTTTATTTACTATAATGTGCGTGTAAAATATTATGTAGTGGAACACTGCAGCTCCAACGGGCGCAACAAGGTTGTACCGGATAAAGTGAAACTAAAATATAATAATAATATGCTGACGGTTGCGTAATATTATTATTTCCATACGTGTCTGTGACGTTTATGGCGTCTTCAATTTCCGATCATTTTTATCGTCGGTGTAAAAATGAAATGTCTCTCTTTTTGCATAATTTACTTTCCATTTTATATATTTTCTACGACACTCGAGTCATATTATTTTGCTTTCAACACGCATTTTCAGCGCTTGTCAAACGCTTTTTTAATCGTCGCACAAGACATTATACGTCGACGGACTTATAAGCGATTAAAAATTATTTACTTGCTCAAAACGTACACACTCCAAATAATATTAACTTTGATATTTTTCGAATATAGGTAGCAAAATAATAATAATTTGTTCTAGAAATGTCCGCAAAGTTTATCGAGGGTTTTTTTTTCAAACCAGTTTTCAACATGTGTCAACCTAAATTTAAGGCTTGAGCTGTATCAAATTAAATTGAAACTGTAGGATTTGTTTCAAAGTTTGGTGGAAACTCGACGTAGACCCCCTCCTCGCATTTTCCGATCGGTTTCGAATGCCAAAAATTGTACAAATAGATTGTAATAGTTTGCAAACTCATTTCCAAAATTTTCAAATCACTCGTTAACCAGCAATTTCCGTGGTGTGGGGACAACCACACGCAGCCCTTCTCACATTATCCAATTGGTTTTCAATTTATAAATGTAATTTATATCAAATTGTTATGGTTTGTCGATATTTAAAGGTAATCTTCAAAAAAGAATATTAAAATCTATAAATGTGTGTTTCTTATGATGTTTAAAAAAACATAATATCGAATGTACTATTAAGCTCAATAAAAAATATGTTATTGGTCATGAAAATATGAAAAAATAATACCCAAATAATCTCTTAGAGTGTCCATTATTACTAGTAAATTTGGTAAAAATTACAATATTATCGTAATATTCTTCAAGAAAATCATAATACAGGCATATTTCAATCAATCGGTTGCTATTGTTTTTAATTAATTTAATTATACAACATAATATACTTTAATTATATAATAATATTATGTTTATTCATTTCCACCTTGACACCGTTTATCTGTCAAAACTGTCATGCGGATGTGTAACAAATAATTATTATATCCTAATGAGTAAATATTACTCGAATGATGTTTGCATTTCACTAAATGGTATATCGACACTAATCGACAGCTATTTTTTGTATGCACGTAGTTTTTTTCCAATAAGACAAACGAGACTATTTTACTTGGCTTTAACTAGTATTAAGCTTATGGCAATATACTGTATGTGTGTAATAATAACTATTCAAGATATCATTTACCTTATATTCTCAATTTTTACTATATTTTTAAAATTTATTAGGCGATACTAATATACTGCGTATAATTGTGTGAAACGTGAACAGGTTTGTGTTTAAAATAAAATATTGACATATTAGTCGAACCACAGCAGCACAATATAAACTAATCGTTTACAGTCGTTATACTTAATAAGGTATTCAGTTTATATTAACACATTATACAATAATCATAAATGATAACAAAACATAAAACAATTGTGTTGGGATTCTATATTATTGAATAATAAAGAAGATAAAATGTTGTCAAATCTATATATGACCGAGAAGTTCCATTCTATGTGATAAATTACATATATTATGTATCTATATTTATCATATTATGTGTGCACGTATAATATTATAAATCATTATTATTAATTATTTTTAAAGTACGTTATGTATAGATAATATTAGCAATCAATCACTTCGCGGCTAATGATAAAATAATTATTTTTCTTTCATACATACAACAAAGGTAGGGAACTATTTAAAATACAAAAAAATGTATTCATTCATTAAAATACAGACACCGTGAAAATTGATAATTCTATTGATTTGTAAATGTATTATGCGTGTTCGTGCATTTTAAATTAAGGAACATAAAAATAGGTAATAATTAACAAAATAATGATACATTATGTAAATAATTATACAAACGATAAAAACGATAAATAGTGTTAGAAAAGACTAACTTCGGAAAAAAAATAAAATAATAACGAGCTTGCTATATCCACAGGGATTATAGTTTGAAGTTAGTGTATATTATATGACTATATATGAGTTATTCTGATAAGATATATTCATTGGAAATATAGCACTTACTCTATATGCTGGGATTAAAAAAGTTTCTTGAGAAACTCACACAGCAGAAACACGAAAACTATAATTTGTTCTAGGAGCCTCATTGTATCTGCAATATAGATAAGTTAGGTGGGTAGCTATTATTTGGTCAATGACAAAGCAAACTCTATTTTGATCACGTCTTACCTCCAATAGGGACGTGAACTGCAAAGCGATAGTGAAACTGAGCTGAAACCCAAAGAACGGTATGCTGTTTTTCCAACAAGAAATTGATACAGTGTACCTACCTACAGTGCTCTTAGTTGTTTCATTTTTCGACTTAGAAAAAGTCTCTTTCTTTTGAGTAAATTAGTGATATAGTATTAGAACACCAAACAATAACCGAGTCATACTCGATTATCCAATACTATTAAGACAAGAAGTCGAATTAAAAATTGTATTATGACAGAGAATGCAATAGTTATGTTTATATTTTTTTTATTTAAAACTCGTCACGGGTGACAAATTTATTGCATGGTTTTACAATGGAGTATATATTTTTTTTTTCTCAATTTTTATACCAGAAAAATTCTTTAATCCTCAATGTGGGTTAGGTAAAAAGTAAAGAATTCACAGTACTTATTAAAACAAACACAAAAAAAATGGATGAATAGGAATATTATTTACGCAACGCCAATTTTTGACTAAAATGACAATATCATTTTGTTGCAATTCAAACATGAATGACCGTAAATACACCTTACATTTTCACCAAATTATACGATTATAATTTTCTAAATATTATAAAATAATTATTGTTTTAATATTTAGGTTATTATTTTATCTATTGATAGACATTTTAAAAAAAACATTAAATTAATAAAAAAAAGAGATATTTTCTCAAAAAAAAGCATGAAAATTAACACAAAGCTTCTATTCAGTTTTTTTACAGTAGTCACATTTTGTTTTAAAAACGTTAAAACTACAGCATACAACACATACGCGTTTACATAATATTTTGAATTTTATTAATTGAAGCTTAGAG